CAAAAGGAACGGCTATGCCAGTCACTTTAATCGCCTGTAAGACTTGTCCCTCTCATTTCGGGGGTAAAATAGTCCCCAAAAGGGCAGAAAGAGACAAGATGGGTGATGGGATGTCTCTCATTCTGCTCCTCACCTCTTATGTGGAGAACATCCTGAATCTGACTATGCTGAATTGCTGAATGACTGCCCCTAGGCTGCTGGACTGGTGTTGGAGGCTACCCTAGACTTAGTGTGCCGGGGAACCCTGTATGAAAGCTATGCCTCTTGAATTGACTGAGGACTGCTAATACCCATGACAAGCTTCCTGGCTCTGTGTTTGAGCTAAATAGCAAGGCAAGAACCAAGTAATATCAGTTTCATATATCTAGCCAAGTGGATTCATGCAAAAAGGCAAGGCAATGCAAGGCAGGAATGATGTGACTGTACAGGTAGGCTTAGAAGGGGTGCTCACTATGACAGCAAGTGAAGAGTCCAAAGATGCAGCCTGGCCCAGTTTATGGGCTGTGTGATTGTCCCTGAGTGCACAGTGTCCTTGCAACAGCATTACAATAGTGCAGCACTGACATGCAGAAATGTTATGTAAGTGGATCATAAATGTGTCGTGAAGGTTCTTAAAAGCTGATACGCTCCACATCGGACATGTATGTGGTGGGTACCCTGAAATGTTACTACCCATTGTCCAACATAGAGATTATATGGAAAAGTGGCATGTTGTCTCCACCAGGTACCTGCTGTGGTATCAATTTTTTTTCCTCTCCTTTAACTGTTTTGTGCATTTGGCAAGATAAGAAAGCTGATATTACTGAGGCAGGTTGTGCCATTAAAAATGTATTTACCAAGCATTAATTGACGTTAATTGGCAACTTGTGCTGCCTAGCAAGAAACTCCCATGCGCGCTTGTGAAAAGCATAAAAGATGGCATCATATGCTGCTGATGTCAAGATGGGCCTTGCTGGATTTTTCGTCTGATTTTGCTGTACATCTTGGTGTAGCCCACTTCGCTTAGACCCACAGAAGATCCACCCTTTGTCTTGGGCACAGTCCTCTCTCATACTCTTCACACAATGCCAACTTTTTGCACTCGAGCCTGGCAATTACCTTCTCTATTCTGCCGGAGTAAGTGCTGCCATCTTCTCTCCAAAACTTCACACTTACTCCATCCCTACTACTGCACCCACTTTCCACCAAGTCTTATTCTCTGCCGCTCTCATTATTACCTACAACATGCCTGGTGGATAGAAGAGGCCCCACCTTCAGTTGACTTTTTCTACCAAGACCTCAAAATTGGGGTCTGAACAAAAAACGGAGCAGGGCCTTGTGGCTTTTCCTGTATCTGGCATTGCCCACAGAGTGTACGTCCCCTTTATGAGGTGCAGCTTGCCTTCAAATTGCATCAAGTATGTGCAAAACCGGCGCCCCCATCAGGTCAGTTGCCTGTCAATAATGTGAGTTTTGTTGGCAGCGTGCCTGTCGTTATTGATGAGATCCAGTTGTTCGACATCTTCCTTGTAGGCAGGTGATTAGCCAGCGTTGTGACAGCAATGTCCATTCTGCCTCCAAAAGCCCACTCAAAGCAATTGCAGTGTTTCATGTTGCCATGTTTATCTGTATTAACATATCATTAGGAAACCAATTCATCCAACTTCATGTTTTGAAAGAAATTTAAAAGTATTTTCAAGCTAGCATTTTATATAGCTCTATATCTGGCATTTCTTTTTACACTGGTGCTCCAGGTGATTTTATTTATTTTAGGTTTAAATATGCTCTGTTGATAAACATGGGGGAAATTTTGACTAACCTCTAAACTGTGGTTTTCATGTGCTAGAATAAAGCTGAATGGCACCAAAATGTAAAGACAATAATGTTGAAAGGATAATATATCTTGTGACATCAACATTTAAGTCACTGCCCTATACCAAGCTCATTTTTGTATAACTAATGCACCGACCCTCGCTTTAGAGATGCAAGGAGAGGGCAGGCTGGGCTTTTCTAATCATGTTGAATGCTAGGTCATAGATCTCTGTCCCTGAGATAGAAGCAAAAATATTTGTGCATATTTTATGTACAATTCTAATTTAATCTTAAAAATAGATGGTCATACATGAACCCTATGTATGTAAATTCTCTTATGGTTTCCAGCTATTTCTGCCTGATCACCATATGTACTGTTGAAAGTCACCAATTTTACTTGTCCAGTCCCAGAATGCTATAAAAGTGGCTGCTTGTCACTGAACTGCAGATTCTGTCTCTGACTACAAGTCATTTGCATGTAAAAATCGTATTATCTGCCTTGGAATTTGGCTTATAATCTTTTTTATAAGGGAACGTTTACCGAATTCCTTTATTTTCCCCCATTTGAAATATTTCATAAATTTTTCTGGACTTTGGCAACGTTAGTTTTATTTCAGCAAACCAAGGATGGACTGTGTTGTGATCTGTGGTATTTATAGATGTGAGCTGAAATAACCTCTGCTCATATCAGACAGTGTTGCAGCTTCTTACATTGTGCACAGTTACAAAATTAAGAATTTCACATTCTGAAAGCTGAAAGACCACCTCAGTAATAAAAATTTGCAAGTGTTGTATGTTGGCTGAGAATCATGTTGTATTATAAAGGAGCAGGTTCGCACTGGGAGAGTTTTAAAAAAATGAAGTTTTACTGAAATCCAAAGACCATTTCAGTGCATTTATTCCTTCTAGAAAGCTTTGCATCAGTCTGTACTGAAAATGTTTATACAATATATATTTTGATATTTCCCCTGCGATAAACCGATGTCATTGTCTTTGGCAAGAGCAAAACAAAAACACAGTAGTGTAATAACAGTGTAGTTGGCGTTGCTCCCCAATTTGTGTTTTGCAGCTACACAAGATTCAAACTCAGATGCATAGATACAAATTGCTTACTAATCTACGTACAGCTAATTTATATTGGATAGACTTTAATGAGATGCACCCAATCTTTTTACTTGTGCCATGATTAGAATCAAGCCCCAGGTCTTGATAAATATTCCATCAGAGTATTCAAATTACCCTTAAGGGCATTAATATAGGATAATAGATGGCTGGCAGTGAATTACAAGGCAGTAATTCAATCGAGTGGCTCTGATGATGTCATAAATTGAAGGTACTAAGTGGCTTCTGAACATTTGCAGACTCCCCCTCCCACAGTCCCCTCTTCCCCACCCCCGCTTCCCCCCCCCCCCAACCTAGTTTAATTACCATCTTAATCCTGCTGTCAGTCATTACTTTCTTTAATGTACAATATGTAAAAGAATGCTTGGTGCAACCTTCAACAGTTTAGGATGCCATGGTGGGTATAGTGGCTTGGTAAAGGACTCAGGCTTAGGTTTGATCATGCCAGTCCACTGAGTTGGTGATTTCAGTAAATTTGTATCAGGAGTGAGCGTCAATCCGAGGGAGTTTCTGCCCCATTTCCACTGAGTTCATTCCGGGGAATTCAGCTGTACCTAGATGAGTAGAGGCCTTGGAGGGAGGATGATGTCTGTTCCAGTATAATGCTCAATTGTCTAGAAAGGCAAGAAGGGAATGCCTCAAATAAATTAATTTGGCCTCATATTTTTTAAAATTTGGATGCACAACGTAACTTTTCGTCAACTTGTATGTGTCTAATGGAGTTGTTTGAATATTGTGTTATAATGGAGGTTGAGATACGGCGTGTGAGGGTGCTGTTTTTGGAGTAGGAAGACTTCTGAACTGGAAACTTCAGTCAAATCTATTTATTATTAAACTGGCACCGCTTTTTCTTTGGTTGATATTGCATAAAGTAGATTTCAACTAATTTTGACATCTCATTTTGAAATGACTTCCTTCTTTATCCTTCTGCCCCTACACCATGTATTATTTCCTGACCAAATGTTTAGATAGCTGGGGTTGTAGTGGGTTTGTAACCAGCCACAACTGGTGTTTAGCTTGAGTTCCCCTTGTTAGTTTTTCTTCCTCTGATGGATCAACAGAGTCTTATGTTGAGAGATTTGGTGAAGGCGAAGGGTCATAGCATGAAATTTTATGGCCTCACTCATGGTGTGTTAGGAGGTCAGAGGGTATGCAGTTGGATGGAATGGTCATGTGCTTTAACCCCATCACCACCGGACTTAAATCAGGAGCAGGAATGTCCCCTTGTTGGACTTCTCTCCTTGTTGCCAACTGAGGCCTCATATGGACAATGAATGACTATTTAAGAGCCTCATCAGTCTGATGCAGGTATAAACTCAGTGGTGGGTAAACCTGCTGACAGGTAAAACTCTGCAATGTACTTGTTTCCCAGACTAGGGGTAGGCCAGACTTGTGTTGAAAGGTACTCTGTGCTTGATAAAGGGACATGACATCTCAAAGTGGGAAGTCCACTGAGAACCACACCCTCTGTTCTTGCTGCAGATACTTACACACCCCTTTCCCCATGATCCCCACTCTGCAAAACTCACTTCGCCATTATTTAGTTGTGGCATGGGTGACATTTCAACCCTAGACCTTCAGTCGGTGTTGTTCCTGCAGCAGCCATAACCTCCCAGAGGCGCTGCTGTTCAAAGGAGCTGCTCATCTCTGAATGGTCAGAAGCCCTCAGTAGGCAACATTTCCACCCTGGGGTCTTTTGATCCCTGGAAAGACCCCCATTGGCTACTTTAAGTGTCTGAGTAGCATTTAATACCAATGCACCATCCCAGAGGATGCAATGAAAGATCTCCCTTCAGTTCTCCAGCTAGCAGGGAGATCCTCGCTACTTCTATAAAATCCAGCCCATTTGTTGAACACTATCAAATTGTAAGAGAGAGGGTAAATGAAGGAACTACGGGATTTATATAACCTCAAACTGCCAGAGAAAGAGTTGAAATCAGTGTGATTATTTGAATGGAGGACAGCTTATTTAGAGTCTAGCACCTTTCTGTTCAAGATTGGTGAGCACCTGTTAACTATTTGTTCAGGCAAAAAAAAATCCAATTTAAAATGTGATCTTTTCTCCCCCTTTTTTCCCCTCATTGAAGACGCTGGGGTGCAGTTCCACAAGTGTCGACAGCCCTACCTATCTTCGCCCAAGAGCCCATTCTACATGTGGAAGCTTAAACCGTGAGTATCAGCAGGTTGTCTCACTCTGAATGGCAATAGAACCACCCAGCTCTTGATATCTGCAGATACACTTTCCAGCACCCAGTCAACTATTGTGCTGGAACCCTGGCAATTTTACTTCCCTCTGTTCTTTTCCTCTTCCTTGGTCTAGAGACACCAAGGTTGATTGCAGTATCCTATCACCGCTTCTGAGATCATTGAACTCAGCATGGATCAGATACTGAGCTTGGGCTGTTGCAGTCCTGCATCGCTCAATGTATGCCCAGTGATGCATTAACCTTACTAACCAAGCCGGGAAGCTAAATTATTTGGATTTTTTTTAAACTATATTTTCATATTTGCCATGTCCTATTTCTCTCAAATCTCAGGTTTGTTGATGACATTAAGAAAATTTTTTTTGCCTTTTTAGTAGGTGACATGATCCTCCCATAAACTTGAACCTTTCTGACCTGAAAACCAATATACCAATATAATCCTAAATCCCGAGTGAACAGTAACTACAGCTCCGTGGAATTAAATAAGCATAGCTGAGATTAGAAAGAAATCCACTGATAGATGTTGTGTCTAAGGAATGCATTCAGGAGAGCTATAACGTGATTTTACATTCACACTGCCCACCTGTTGAGTGACTGAACCTTTGGGAGTAGGGACTGGACAGAGACAAACCAACAAAACAAATGGGGGTGAAGAGTGAGAATTCATCAGTTTGAGTGCCAGTGCTTGACACTTGGCAACAGGTCGTGTGTCGGCTTTCTCAGTGGGGGTCTCACGCACAATAAGATGGGGAACATCAATGCAAGGCTTAGAAGAGAAAGTCACGTCGAAAGGGCATGGCAGTATTGTAACAGTTATTGGAGCCAGAAAGGATATTTCTAGTGCACTGCGAAGTACTCCTCTGGTTTGATGAGGATCCAACTCAAAGATTTGTATCCAATCTGGAGAAGGAAAAAAAAATGAAATTAGAATGAGTCTGCTTTTGCTTTGCTTTTGATAAAAAAAATTGGTGAGTAATAAATTCATCAAACTAAAAATGCAGAAGCTAATGGACTGCTCAAGTTTCAATGCATGGAAAATAGAAAGCAGGCTCCTGTTACTGCAAAGATACACAGATGCTGTCTGCTTTAATCGCTTGGTCATGGTTGGCAGACAGTTAGTCATCACAGGCTATGACAGGGTGAAAGCAGGGTGCCAGTGTCCCTTTCAAGTGAAAATTTGATGCAGAAAACATTCTCTTTCTCCCTCCCTAGAAGTTAACAGCAACATTTTACTTCAAATCATTAGTCTCGCATAACTCAATCAATATGGATTTACTCAAAAATCAATTTCCTACCGCAAATATGATTGTTAAATAATTCACAAGTAACAAGCCCTCTGGCACCTGGAGGTTGAAGGGGGTAAGTAGTGAACAAGATTTAAAGCAGATTTCAATTAAATGGAGAGAAAAAAGATATTAACATTCAGTCAGGCTTTGAAACTTTTCTTCACTTGGTCAGAAAAATCTTTCTTTAGGAAAGGGGGGGCAAGTGGAGGAAAGCATAGATCAGTGCAGGTGCAATGAAGCAAATTTAAATGTTCAGCATATGTAAGTGCAATCTGAAAATCATTGTCTTGCAAAGAACGCTTGAAATTGGTCCCTAATGGCCCCTGCTTTTGTCATATGGTCTTGATTATAACGATAAAATTGCATTGCCATGCCTTTAGTGAGAACGAGGTGGATGAATTATTGTTACGTGTATTGAATACTGTGTGTCTGTGTGTGTGTGTGTGTGTGTGTGTGTGTGTGTCTGAGAGTGAGTGAGTGAATGAATCAAGGCAGTCACTGGACATCTACTGTGTCTTTGCAGCAGTTTTCAAAGAGGCTACCTCTCCTGCTGAAAGGTACCTGCTGTAGCAGCATTATTTTACTGGGAAAACCAGCAGGATGCTTGAAGGTGTGTGGAAAGTTGGTGCAGATATGATTGCTGAATCTCTGTTTGCATCAAGCTCAATAATAAATTCTAGCTAATTCATTTTTTATTCTCTCTTGGGGTCTGCTTGCAGACTTGACTTAACAGAGGAAGCATCATGTTACTTCCTTTAAATAATTGATGTCTTTCAGCCTAAGCCAGCTCAGAAGAAAATCTGAAAATAGTGACTGATTAAGTAAATATGTAGCTTCTGCATTCCTGATACGTGGGTGGGATTGCTGTCATTGGATCTTTGTGCAAAGCTTTCCATTTTAGAGGATGTACATTTGACAGATTGTCATTGCTACCGAAACTGCCATTAAAGAGACTGTTGTCCTTTTAGTTTGGCCGATGTAGGCAGATTTCTGCTAATAATACAAAAATAACAGTTCTCCATAACCACTTCCACTACATACCAACTGTAGAATTTGCTGAAAAATGTGATTTTTCAATGAAATGCGCAGTAATAACTTCACAATCGTTAATGTTTCAATGTGATCGTCATCACAAATCAATGATCCTGAGTGCTCTGCCCATTGGCATATCCACACTGAAAGCCAGAATCAGCAGAAAAACAAACCCAAAATGGAATAAAACTAACCCATACAATTTACTGTATGTATTATTAAAAATAACAGATACCTAGTAGTGATTACAAGGCAGTAATCTAATCTCAGAGTTTAGATGACAGTTATAAACCACTCAAGGTTTGCTCTTGTGGCTTATGACATCACCTGAAGCCCTCTATTAAATTACTGCTTTGTAATCATTTTTTGGTAATCATTACTCTCCAAAACACATGGCATTTCTTATTTTCTAGTAATCCGCTCTGAAAACAAACTTATAATTTTTCAATGACAGATGTGATGCCCTTTTAACATCGAGTCAAATATTCTTATCAAGTTTATTATCCTTTACCTGTGGAATTGTTTTGAACAGTGCATTACATAGTGTAAAGAGTAATCTGAGTTGCTAGTGATTTAAAACAAGAGTTTAATCACTCGTCTGTTGATATAAACTGTGTGACTTCTGTTTTCTTGGTTCACAGTCCAAGGGACGTTATGATTGTTAGTTCAAGCCCTTGTTGCTAGCAGCCCTAGTATCTTAGCTGTGACGGGCCACTGTCTGGTTGGAAAATATACAATTAAAATAAAACCACATGGTATTTTACTTGACTATAAGAAAATGATTGTTACCACTTAACATTTTGGAATCTGTGTAAAAGTACTGAGCATTCAAATTAATTACGATAGCTCAGTTATTGCCTGATGCAGCCCTTCTTCTTTGGAGGGTATGGGGCAAAGGCGGGGGTGAGGGTGCAGTGGATGAGGTGTGCTCAAGATGACTACAATCAAGTTGCTTAACAATGAGAGATTTTGCAGCAAAACCCAAGTCAGTCCTCACCTTACATAACCTCTTGAGTTCACAAAGTGTATTTTCCAGCAAAACTCAGATTCCCTTCTGTCGGTACCAAACCTGGGAGATGGAGGACAGTCTATATTTGCTGCAGCACTGTCTCGATTTGAACCAATTACTCAGAACATGCTAGTGGTGAACTTTTGGTTGTTGGTCATCACACCTTCTTGAGTGGTGTTTATGCAATCGTAGATTTATAACTCATATTTTTCTAGAAACTGTCTTATTTTGAGGCATCCTTTCATGAAACATTTGCTGCGCAGTTAATTTTAATATTTGTCCATTCAAAGAACAGAAGTAACTTTTTGTTCGTGAATGTGCATTTTGTTCTTTATGTATTTGGCTTTGCGCTCATAGCTGTGTAGTTTGGGTGTCTATGCAACTGACTTTTGTTCTTTTAGCTGGGTGTCTGCCAAGCATGGAAACAGCACACAGTTGAATATCCAAGGTCAGTGAGACAAACTGTATATTCTGAATCAAATGAAAATATAAACTCTTGAGCCTTCTTGTATAACAGAAGATGTTAAGAAGCTTTATATGTTTTCACCAAAGTTGCTTTGAACTCTGAGTCAATCAATGAATCAATCAAGGAAGCAATAAATTTGTGATAAATATGAAGCATTGCAATTCTCTGAAGAAGTGCTGAATCGTACGCAAGTCTGAATGCCTATGACCCAACGTAATTGTGCAAAATAATGATTACTAATAGTTAATAGGGATACTTTTATTGTCAGGTCAGCCAATGTATTAGTGGAAAATTAAACAATCTAAACTTTTTGTTGCAGACTGCACCTTACGTAAAAAAAATGCAATATGGAGCAAAAATGAGCATGATGACTAACCTTTTGAAGCAAATAGTAACACTGAAAGAAACTTAAGTGCATGGACTCAATAGTCGGAGAATCAGGATTAAAGATCTCCCTTATTTACCTGTAATCCAGGTTGTTGCCTGACAATGTGGTCTTGCATTGCTGTTCCATGGTGCAATTGTCAGGGCGGGGAGAGTGCAGGTCAGGGAAGACAATACTACATGTCATTCTTGTGCATCTCAATGAAACTATTTCTGCGATAAGGCCAGGGACTTGAGAAACTCGTGGCCACATTTGCTGACCTGTCCTTCAAAACGTATTTATACTGTAGCTGGAAGATTAAATTGTACCGAGAAGAAAATAAGTTTAAAGTCAGGATAATAATATGGAAAATTTAACGTGATGGCAGCCTTAGAGTCACAATATATTCCAGATGATAAGTGTTTAAAATTAACCAGATTCCAGACATACTATTTCTATAGAAATTACTCCAAATAGCCATTACATCATACCGTTTATGTGCTTGAGTATTAAGAATAGATGGTGCTACAGTATAGAATCTGGTATCACAAACTAGCAAACTGGTAAGAAAATTGACCAGCTTTTACAATCTTATCAAGTAAAATATTTTTGTGTGTGTATGTGTGTGTGCTCGCACATGTGTGTGAGAGAGAACACAGTGATGACATCTGTTCATGGCAAGAGTCTGCCCATGAAGTCTTTTAATATGGAAAAGCTCATGTGCTGCAGCTCCCATGCAGTCCTGGCTGACCAGTAGACTGTCCCACTCCCAATGGCCTGCCTTCAGCATATCGGATAGATTTGGAGA